TTGGTATAATGTCTGCTAGAATGTTAAAAATGTTCAGTGTTAAATATTTTTAAATTGTGTTTTGTAATTGATTTTTTTCTTTGAAAAGCAAGACAAAACAGTAAAAAGCACATTTTGGCTATTTCATTTGTGCAATGGTGAAAAAAAATTGGCAAAATACATGGGGGAAAAAATTTTTAAAAACGTGTTCGGTATTCGGCCCAGTGTTTTATTTTGTTCGGTTTCGGCTTCAGCCAAGAATTTTCATTTCGGTGCTTCCCTACAACATAGTATCAGAGGTTTGTATTGTATTATTCATTGTATATTCGAATCAATTTCAGTTACTAATACCAGATATATGTTCATGTTTAATATTTCCTGCATAATTATTATAATCATAATTTTGTGTTGGTTCAGTTCCCTGCGTGTCGGCAAGTGCGCAGCAGACACACCCACCTAAAGGATTTCAATATATTGCTTATCCTGCCCAAAAAGACCATAAACATTGCAGATAACATCTGAAGTAAAAATTAATTTACACACACATATCTTAAAAACTAATCCTGTGTGACTGATACGTTTCAAATCAGGTGATTTTAGGTCAAGGCTTTAGCTGTCAGTCAATGATGCTCTCTGCCGCTAGAGAATAGTAAGATGGCGGCTCGAACACTTCCGGTGGCTTCACCGCCTGACGGCAGTTTAGAACACAATGAGTGCTCCAGTCATTATATAGATCAGTGGTTATGTAAGTGCATTCTCATTTATGCCTATTTTTATATTTACATTACATTTGTTGTAATCTAATAAAAATTTTAATGGCACTGTTAAATGTTTGGTTTAAGATAATTCCCTTTAAGATAATTCTCCAGCATGGTTAATGTCTGAAATCACTTTTAAAAATAATGATTTTATTTTTAGCATATATTATATTATAAAGTATTATAAAAGCATGTATAATTTATATTTTATTTTAATAAAACACTGTTTTTTTTTTTTTATTGTACATGCAGTAACCACGTCACAACTTTTTTGGTAAAGACTCAAAAAAAGGCATGAGTTTTAAAGCTTGTTTGAAAAATCTAAGTAAACCTCAGGCAGAATTCCCATTACTCACTTCCACTGTAGCTGAGGCTAGAATATTTCTCATACAACTCGTCATCCACTAGATGAGTCCTCTGAGGAAAACGCTGGGTTAACTCGGATTACGTGTAGGTCATAGCAAATAAAGCAGCCAGATTTATGACCATTTATGTTTGTGTCATAATTGCGGCCTTCAGTAACGTCGTACCTGCAGTGCGCAGACTCTTGAGGCTCTCTAGAATGGTCTCAGGTGATCACTTTGGGTTAACTTTTCAAAATATTTCCAATCATGGTGATATTTCATGGCTCCTTAAACTTTCATAGTGCCTGGCTGCCCTAAGCGTTCAGAGTCACCCAGAACTTTCTGTACGTTCTGTCTAGTAGAGTTCTCAGCCTGGTGCCACCTGCAAACCAACCTTAATGCTCACTTATCTGTGTTCTCATGCAAACATTCCTCTTGTCCCTTTGCCAATAGCGAGGCCCAGATGGCACCGGCTTATTGTGCGCATGCTTTCGATGTTCTGTGCTCCTCATAACAATAGCCCCATGAGAAGACAACTGGAATGCGCTCGCATCTAACGCCGGCGTGTGCTTTAATATTGATGGCTCTGTCTAAACAGGAAGGTTTTCTCTGCGAGGCAGAATAACTCTATTGTTCTATCATGAGGGCAGAGTAATGAGGTAGTAACGATATTCCCTCATGATTGCCCGTCTCTGTCTTTGATCCAATATCATGTCGACAGTAGGAAAGTCAGATAATGAGTCACGGCTTTGAAGACTTCAGGATGGGCACCGGTTTAAAGGCTGAAATAATGCTAAACCTCCACTAAACCGACTGGTCATATGATACAGCTTACCTCTATTAACAGGAAGCTCTTTTTTCATCAACTTGTCAAAGACACATGATGGAACATTGAGCTAATTCTTTTAGTAAATGATTTTTTCCCCTCAGTGGCTACATGTGTACCCTTCACCCAAACAGTGTAAGAACCTCATTTAATCTTAAATTTCTATCAGTTTTGACACTTTCTTCTGTGGAACACAACATTTTTGTAGGTAGAAAATGTAGATACAGTTTGCTACAGTTCCCAGTTGAAATGAACACTAAAACAACCAACAACGTTTGTTTTCACACCAAGTATGATTATAGGGCAGTATTATAGATTAAATATTAAAGACTTTTTTCACATGGTTTCTTGTACAATACTATGTTATGACTTCAAAACACTTTTACTATATTGCTCACCTGGTACGATAAATAAATCACAATAAAAGACCTCAAAAAATGTTAGAAACACCAGCCATTTCATTCCGAATAGCCGTGATATATGCAACAACCAACATAATAAAATGTTGCCAGATTTTTCATCTGTTTTGGATAAAGCCAACGTGCTTTTAGCACCACTTGCTAGACATTTTGACTTTGAAAGTGACGCGAAATGTGCAAGAAACAACATAATACAATTTTGCAGAAATTATTTTTTCAATGAGCCTGGGTTGAAGGGCACTTTTGTGGTGTTTTCTTCTTCTTCTTCTTCCTCTTCTTCTTCCTCTTCATCTTCCTCTTCCTCTTCCTCTTCCTCTTGTCATTTTGAAGCTTGATAGCCTCAGTTCTCATTTACTTGAGTTTTTTAACTTGA